TTTTTTTTATTCAAACGTGGGACGTTTGTCATGATGTACTTTGTCAGTGTGAGTGAATAGAATCGGCGAACATGCCTCAAATGAAAACTTCAAGAAAGAAGCGAGCAAGACTTTTGAGTTTAGATAAAGAACCATACTTCAGGAGTAAATCAGAAAGCAGCCAAGCGAGATGAGAAAGTGCATGGTGCGAAAGAATTTGGTGTTATGGTCATTAGCAAACAATAGAATTCCCAGAGCATCAAATCGTTGGGAAACGATCAATGTTTTCTGTATTTCTCRTTCGCTTKAGATCGCTTTAAATGAGTTCAATAGTCTTGCAATTTTATGTAATATTAGTTTAAGTTCAAATTTGTATCCTGACGTAATTTTGAGAGAAATGATCAGCGAATTTTAGAATAATGGAAGATCTAGTAAGATTGACTAGAAAACTGCGATGAAAAGTGCGCATCAAATGTTTACCCCGTCTTCTGCACTCTACGTTTTCACAAAATCGCATAAGTCGATTACCTTCAAAATGTTCCTTTTAAAACTAGATACAGAGTGAAACTAAATGAGCAATAACTTTTGTGAATATATAGCTCTGAAATATTAATTTCGGCCGTATGAAATCCATTGTTTAGTTTTGAAGTAGATTATGCACTATATTTAAATAATCTCAAATATCTCATTATTAGGTAGATAGATTTTTTCAAAAATCCCCACAAATGGAGGCATCTAGTATATAATTATGTGGTACGAAGCATTTTAGTGTTGAACGCTCTGCAAGGCTAAAATTATTTTCTTAACGAAATCAAATATTTCATCATAATCACGTGTTATGACGTCCGATCTCATAAAAAACTGCATCAAAYATTAATTCAATCTTTATGTGACTTATGTGCAAAAAAGATTTGCAATCGGATAAAAGACGTTTATGCATTAGCGTTCCAAAAGTGGAAGGTAGCRGTCAAGCGTGAGGGGGTCSAGCCACCTTAAAGTTCAGTGAAGAATAATCTGGAAAAACTTGGTTTGAGTGTCCTAACAGCCTGGAAATGAACTTCACTGTCTCTCTTCCTTGTGTCCTCCCTTCCTCCCTCCCTCTCTCTCTCTCTCTCTATACTCTCATATACTACTCAGACGCTCCCTACTCCAAATGAATTCTGTGTTATTATCATTTTCAGATTGTGTCGTATCCATATTTCAATGTTGATATCATCAAGAGTACAGTAAGTAAAGCTCCAACATTTCTTTGACAAGCAATTTTATTGCTTCACTTTATTGCTGCTTCATCTTTACTAATCAGTTTTGAAAGGATGTAAAAACCTGGTATTGACCACCCTCAGTGTCTGAACCTCATTACTAACCACCTCTCATGATTGTAAACTGACCACCCTCAGTGTCTACACCTCATTACTAACCA